TGCTTTATAACTCTGATTGGTATAATGTGTGAGAATTTCTTTGTAGATAGAACCTGCCTTATAACTCTGATTGGTCCAATGTGTGAGAATTTCTGTGTAGATAGAACCTCCCTGATACCTCTGATTGGTACAATGTGTGAGAATTGCTGTGTAGATAGAACCTGCCTTGTAACTCTGATTGGTACAATGTGTGAGAATTTCTGTGTAGGTAGAACCTGCCTTATAACTCTGGTTGGTACAATGTGTGAAAACTTCTGTGTAGATAGAACCTGCCTTATAACTCTGATTGGTCCAATGTGTGAGAATTTCTGTGTAGATAGAACCTGCCTTATAACTCTGGTTGGTACAATGTGTGAAAACTTCTGTGTAGATAGAACCTGCCTTATAACTCTGATTGGTCCAATGTGTGAGAATTTCTGTGTAGATATATAGAACCTGCCTTATAACTCTGATTGATACAATGTGTGAGAATTTCTGTGAAGATAGAACCTGCCTTATAACTCTGGTTGGTACAATGTGTGAAACCTTCTGTGTAGATAGAACCTGCCTTATACCTCTGATTGGTCCAATGTGTGAGAATTTCTGTGTAGATAGATCCTGCCTTATAACTCTGATTGGTATAATGTGTGAACATATCTGTGTAGATTGAACCTGACTTATATAACTCTGATTGGTATATTGTGTGAGAATTTCTGTATAGATAGAACCTGACTGATACCTCTGATTGGTACAATGTGTGAGAAGTTCTGTGGAGATATATAGAACCTGCCTTATAACTCTGATTGGTATAATGTGTGAACATATCTGTGTAGATTGAACCTGACTTATATAACTCTGATTGGTATATTGTGTGAGAATTTCTGTATAGATAGAACCTGTCTTATACCTCTGATTGGTACAATGTGTGAGAAGTTCTGTGGAGATATATAGAACCTGCCTTATAACTCTGATTGGTACAATGTTTGAGAATTTCTGTGTAGATTGAACCTGCCTTATAACTCTGGTTGGTACAATGTGTGAGAATTTCTGTGTAGATAGAACCTGCCTTATAACTCTGATTGGTACCTACCATGGATATATATACAGGCCTTTTTTTGTAACAGAATATTATTGGCCAGTTCCCTGCTTCAATTTCGGCATTATTTTCCCCTAATTCAGCTAAAAATTCAGCCTTTTTTAACTAAATTACTACCACATAAATATCTGTCTCCTATATTTCATAATCTATAATGAAAAGTGAGAAACAGAATCAAAGATGTAATCCTTCCTTCCCCCCTCCCCCTCCCTCTTGTACTCTGCCTCTGTGCCTGCAGCCCTTGCTGGACAGGTCATGCACCTAGCACAGGACATATTTTCAAAAAGAGGGTTCTTATTTTTTATTTCTGCATTAATCCCTGCCGAGCTACAGTTGCTACAAATGTTGTTTGTACTTTAACGCAAGAGTGTTAAGATATGGAATATCTCTCGGTGGTATGCACATTCTTAAAGTGTTGTGCCTATATCTACTATAATGTCTGGCTGGATAGATGCCTTGACGTAGTTACAATGATGCTCCCATTACAAGATAATCCTGTACAACAGTGAAACAGGTGGAGTGCATTAATTACAAAGAAAACACCTTACAGACATGCAGTGCACTAAGATGCTGATAGGGAACTAATTTTTGTTGTCCCCTGCGGTTTGTAATGTGCTTTAAATTTGCAGAAGGCAACAACTGTGTCTTCTATCTACAACTGTTATACTGTTCTCTCCTGACTCTATTACTGTTTTGCAAATGAACTAAAACTTATCATCATTAATTTATGTGAAACTTGATCCTCAGGTGTAAACTGAGTATCAGCATATTGCTTATACTTCAGTAACTGTGACGTAACAAAACCTGCGAAATTAAATTTTAATGCATAAAATTTGTAAAGAATATTTCGTGTAATATTGATATAAAATTTACACGAGGAAGAATATAAAATGCAATTGAAGGCCAGAATAATTAATCAAGCAGTAATAATTATTTTGCGACCCTTAAAATAATTATCATTTTGAAATTAGTAATTTATGATTCTAAAGGTTGATAAAACTGTGAGCATCTTAAGTCCCGTCAAATTAATTGGCTGGTGTATTTTGTCAGCTACTCAGAAAGGAACTTAGGAACTGATCTGGTTTAAAATATTGAGAACCCTAATACACCGAATGACCTTGCAAGCCGGAATGTCGCCCATGAATGACCTTACTGTACTGCAGTATTTGTCAATTATGTAATACATAGGGGCTTAAATCTACGTCATAGTTTGCACATAACAACAATTGTATGAAAGGAGTGTCATTTTTTCTCGCAAATCGGATTCTCCCTTTAATTTATGATGTAAATTCTATTTTTTTCTTTTGGGCTCATACATATGCATACTTACAGCCTGTTTAAATACTTCCGACTTCTTCATTTCTTCCTGGGAAAATTCTAATTAAGAGTCTGTGTTCAACTGGGAATGGATTAGATTGTTACATATAGGTTACACTTAGTGTACACAGGGGTTTGCAGGGTAAGACACTAATTTTGGAAGTCCACAGGAATAATTAAATAGTTAATTAGTCCCCCCCGATTTGTACTTTGAACGTTGCACATATAACGACTGGAAACTTGTATAAACATGCTTTTTAAACCATTTGGAAAAATAAAGACTGAAATTGGGAAAATTCAGGGTCATTTGTCAATTGTGAATGTGTTCCAGTGTTCCAGTGTACCGGACCCTATAAGTATTAAAAACACCTGGCAAAAACCCTGGTATTCCAATGGAGAGTCTTAATTAACCAGACAGAGGCGAACATGGAATTGTTAATTAAGTGTTGTTATTTTATATGTTGGTTATTTTAAATCCAACGGTTACCATTGACATCAGGTTGGCTGAGAAATTTTCAACTTCTTCTAATATTCCAATGGGCCAATTTTAACCAAATTTAGTACATATATATATATATACAAATGATTCTTTCATTATCCTAACCAATTCTATGTTTGCCCCGCTGCCACAAAGTGGTACAGGGCATATAGCTAGGGTTACCCTTGACTGTGTCTGGTCTTTAGTATTGGCCAGTAAAGTTGTGTTCAGGTTTGTAAAGTACAGCAGCTTGTGTCACATAACGTCACATACTTATACGGCTTTATGATTAGCAGAACATGCATATGTTGTTGCATGGCATATTTTGTGACCTTGACTTTGACCTTGATCTCTATGACCCCACTTTTATGCTTAAGTGTGGAAATAGGAATTCTTGCCATACAGACTCATTACTTTTAACTGATTCAAAATCAAAGGTTAATTAATTGCTGTAAAAAAAAACTCAAACTTTGAAATGTGTTTGACTCCTTCTACAATTTCATCAGGCTTTATTTTAATCCAAATTCTATTTAAAGTATGTACAGGATCTGTTACTGAGATGGAGCATAGGTCAACATAAGTTTGATTAAGAACCTCATGTGGCCCTTACAAAACATTGAATTATAAGTAAGCAATACAGGCCTTTTGGGCCACATTTAAAAAAAATAGAAATATAAAATAGAATTTAAAAAATTTGGGGTTTGCTGTATCACCAAGAGGTCTTATACTGTAGGTCATGTTCACTTTGTCTGTCACAAATTATAAAAAAAAAAGATCATTTTAATTTGATAGATATGTTTAAGTGTAGCATTCAGGGAACTGATAACTGGAGAGATTTAGTGGGCTGAAGTAGTCACTGAAACTTAAGGAGATTTCTTGACACTGCAGTAAACACTTCAGATTGATAGTATAATATTACACCCCTACTGACACCCCAATCTAGGTCATTAAGGTCACAGAGGTCAGGATATTTATACCAGGTACCTATATCACTGATCTGGGTACACCTCTACTGACGCCCCCCATTTAGGCCATGAGAGGTCAGAGAGGTCAGTATATAGGTCTATCCCTATATAAATAGATACCTTCTTTACTCTCAGATACAGCAATGTGATCTAGGGTGTACTGTAACAGGTGTTTGCTAGCATCTGGTGTTTATTTATAAAACACTCAGTTTGTTTTTATAAATGTACAAACTTTTCTTCTGAACTAGCTGCATGATCGACTTCCATTATGGTAGAGGTCTGGTGTGGTGAGCTGCAAGGTTTCCTGTGTGTGTATTTCTGTCACTCAAAATGATCCATCGTGTTTGTTCCTGTCCCGTAAATAATCCATTTAAAGTTGAAAAAAATATGAAAAAGGATACAGTTTGAAAATTTCATTTAAACTGCTGATATAAAACAAGATCCTTGTGGATATTAAGAGTATAACAAAAGTACCTAGGTACGTACCTCGGCTATATGGATTAGTTGAATTTTGGTATGAAACTGGAAATTAAATGAAGCTGCTTTAAAACAAAAGGAAATGGTTTGTTTACTTGCTTCCAGAGTGCTATATGACGTCAACTAGACAAGTTGATTGCTCCCCCCCCCCCAATGGCATATATGGCATTGAGAAAAACAGCTGTCTGATCCTAGAAGTGTCATATGGCATCCTCAAAACCTGTTGTTTAGTGTCCTAATGCCATATGGCATCAACAAAATCAGCTGTCTGGTCCTAGAAGTGCAAAACAACCTCATTTTATTTCCTTGGATTCACAGTGTGACAACATGAGCATAAGATTTGAGATAATACGACCAGCATTAAAATAATCTTTTGTTGTAAAAAACAAGTCAATGGGGTGCCTTTATTTTTTCACGGTACATGCAGAATTTTGCCCAATTGCCAATGGGAAAAAGTACAGTGAAGGGATTGCATGCTCTTAACTACAAAAAGGACGGTGGATTCTTTTAAAGTGGCACATATTACATGGATAACATTTGATAAAAAACAAACCCCAGGACCCTTCAGAAGGATGAATAAACTCCATCAGTGTTATAACGTAAAGTAGAGGACGCGGATGTGTAACACTGCATAGTGATAAAGTAGCTATATGATGACAATATCAGTAATGTTTTCTGTTGTTTTCAGTGTTTGCTAAAGGCCAGATGATGACCGGTCAGTACAGATTCCTGGTCAAGCAGGGTGGATTTGTGTGGGTCATAACGCAAGCCACTGTCATCTACAACAGTCGCACTCAAAAGCCCCAGTGTATTGTGTGCGTCCACTACCTCACAAGGTATGTATCAAAAAGAAGCCTTATTGTATTGTATGCCTCTGGGAAGTATATATATAGATTCTGGTCTGGGAAGTATATATAGAATCTAGTCTGGGAAGTATATATGTAGATTCTGGTCTGGGAGGTGTCTAGATTCTGGTCTAGGTACTATATATAGATTCTGGTGAAGTATTATATATAGATTCTTGTCTGGGTAGTCTATAGATTCCGGTCTGGGAAGTATATATATTCTGGTCTGGGAAGTGTTATATATAGATTCTGGTTTGGGAGGACTATAGATTCTGGTCTAGGAACTATATATAGATTCTGGTGAAGTATTATATATAGATTCTGGGGGGGGAAGTATATATATAGATTCTGGGCTAGGAAATATATATAGATTCTCGTCTGGGAAGTCTATATAGATTCTTGTCTGTGAAGTCTATAGATTCTGGCTGGAAAGTATATATAGATTCTGGTCTGGGAAGTATATATATAGATTCTGGTCTGGGAGGTCTATAGATTCTGGTCTAGGAAATATATATAGATTCTGGTCTGGGAAGTCTATATAGATTCTTGTCTGGGAAGTCTATAGATTCTGGTCTGGGAAGTATATATAGATTCTAGTCTGGGAAGTATATATAGATTCTGGTCTGGGAAGTATATATAGATTCTGGTCTAGGAAGTCTATAGATTCTGGCTGGAAAGTATATATAGATTCTGGTCTGGGAAGTATATATAGATTCTGGTCTGAGAAAATATATATAGATTCTGGTCTCGGAAGTATATATATAGATTCTGGTGGGGGAAGTATATATATATTCTGGTCTGGGAAGTATATATAGATTCTGGTCTGGGAAGTATATATAGATCCTGGTCTGGGAAGTATACATAGATTCTGTTCTGAGAAGTATTATATATAGATTCTTGTCTGGAAAGTATATATAGATTCTGGTCTGGGAAGTATATATAGATTCTGGTATGGGAAGTATATACAGATTCTGGTCTGGGAAGTATATATAGATTCTGGTCTGGGAAGTATACATAGATTCTGGTCTG